TCTCTCTCTCTCTCTCTCTCTCTCTCTCTCTCTCTCTCTATCTCTCTCTCTCTCTCTCTCTCTCTTTGGTAGACCATACCTTTTCTTTTCTCCCGCTATTGAAACTCGATTATTCGGAAAAACTTGAGATATCTTCTTCTCGCTAGTCATGTACGTGTCGCCAATGTCGATATGTGCGTGCGTTCTGCGTGTACAATTGGAAAAAGCTTGAACTTTTCAAGATCGTTCTTAGCCGACGTACCGCAATTAGCAATTTGGGGAACAGACCATTATTCTAATCCCTATAATTTTCTTTTCACATACGAACATTACAAAATATCGTTTCAAATGTAGTTCCGGTGTGTCTTACGATAATACAGTGCAATAATTGGCGGTGTCGATATTTCGATGTCTCCGCTAACAATATTTCTACTTTCCAGTTATTTGGCGAACAAATATTCCGGCATCGTGAGTAGGATAGACAACATCTTAGAAAAACACAAGACGAATATTCTGGTGCAAAGTCACTTACTGCGAAAAGTAGAAGCAGATGACAGATGAGCATTATTTGCGTATCTGAGTAATTTGCAGCTGTTGGCTTCGAAATTTATTGTTCCAAGCAGTAACCCAATTGTCCACGCGCAATCAAGTAGACACCCCTTAAACATCTAAATATAGAAATAAAAGTAAATATACAATACAGAAAAAATAGAAAAGAAGTATACACTGAGAAAAACAATGAATAACGTTCATCTTGTGAGTTTCTGTAAGTAAAGAAATGAGAAACATCGTCGCGAAAAATTCGTATGTAAATTTAGATTGATAAAAATCGCTATTATATAAAATTGACATTACTCGCTACTTTTGCCAATCATATGTGTTTTGTGGCTATGTGCAACGCGCGAGTATCTTTGTGAAGAGTAAAAAAAATTCGTAAACACACGGAGACTCAGAGAAGATACGTCAACAACCCGGAATACGCGTTTGAAAAGCACCATACTCATGTACGTGTGCATCCGCAGCACACGTGGCATTTTTATTTTCCCTCCGATATTTCGTACGTTATCCCGCGAGTTGCACGACACGCATGGTTGATTTTCATGCATACACAACCCCCGCCGTTTCCACAACAGCCTGCATTATTAAGGCAACCACGTGGAAAGTACGCAGCAATTGGTTTATACGAAAAAAAATTATCCGAACGATTGCCGTCTTTTATTCTCTCTTGCAAATGACTTTCCGCAAAAAGTCGAGAGAGAACATTGTCCGCGATCGTTAGAAACAATTTAACATCCGGCTGATGTCGCGTGCTACGTCTACGCATGCTTGACTCCTTCCATTTTTAAAGAAAATTGCACATCGCAGCGCGCCGTTCGTCAACTCAAGAGCGGGTCGTTTCCCCAGCGATATTTCCTTTCTTCTTTAGTTGTTTTTTATGGGAGATACATTGTGGAACGTTGAAAAAACATTGCAAGTGCGTCCTCGCAAATGGAGCGATACGTCAGTACGAATATTTAATGAGCAATGCCTGCTGGGATCGCAGAAGGCGGGGTTCGCAGGTTTATCTTCAATCGCGAACCTTCAGTTCACGATAGAACACCTTGTAGCGTACATCGTCCGGCAGCCAACGTGTCAAGCGTTCCAATACGGGATTACCGTTAATTAGTTTCGCGGAATAACGATCGTAGAAGAACACATGGAGGAATCGAAAAGCAAGCAATCGAGAAGAATGATCAGTTGGCCGCTGCAGATGCTGCTTTGCCTGTTCGGGATTTGGCCAGGCGTATCGTACGGCCTGCTCTGCAAAGTGTTCTGGTTGATTGTAATGATAACCTACACGATTCTTCAATTCATGTTTCTTATCATTCACGCGCGATCAATTGACTTTACCTTTTTTATATATGCGTTTGCCCTGACATTGGCGCTGACTATGAAGTTCATCAAAATGCTTCTCTTCTGGTACAATCAGCGGTGAGGCATACACGCTATAAGGCGTATCGTGCGCGTAAAATTGTGAAGAGATCGAAAGTACTTTAGCACACGTGTGTATATATCGGGTTTATCGGAAATTCAAAAGCGGTGCGATCACAGCGAGTTCGATTTTCCAATATCGTGGCGATGTAAAAAGAGATTTCGAGTTAATTGTCGCGCTCGTATGGCCGTGATGAAATGTGAACATTTATTGGCACGAGTTTGCAACATCGAGTTCGAAATTCATCGCGATTACAACGCGTTTCTTTAACTACGTGAGGGAGAATTGAGATAAATCGCGTAACAGTCTCCTAAACCGTACTTCATCAATTATATCATTATTATTAGACATATCTAACGATAAAAAAATGAGAAATGAATAAGCAATAAAGAATAAACAGGAAACTTTCAAATTATCATATTTTGTACATGCTACCACATGTTTGAAAAAATATAAATATATAAAAATCAGATACAATTTAGGAGTTCGGCAGGATTTGGGAAACTTTCCCCTAAATATCGCCACGATAAAAATCGTAATAAGCCGACTCAGCTGTTAGAACCGCCTGTAAGAATAATCGCGCTTGTAGAAAATTCAACGAGATGTGGGACACGATGTCAATGAATTGGGAGCTCAGTGCTGTCTCCACAAACACAGTTGACACGACTTCCAAAAGGCACATGTTGTATTACTTGCCTAATTTCGTCGTGGCATTTAATTCGATGTCAGTGATAATGAATTCTATCAGCGTTATCTCGACTGTAATTCACTACGACGAAGCTTCCAACGCGACGCGTCCGTACATCCTGTTGATGCATCTTCCATTCGACATTAATAATTATTTCGTATATGCACTCGTGTTATTTCTGCAATTTTCCTACCTGCTCACCATGTCCGCCGGCTCCGCTACACTCAATTCGGTTCTTATTATTTTGGTGAGTTTCCACAGCATTATAATTAGTAAGCAAAGTAATTAAGCTCATCCAGCTCATTGTTAATTCATTTTCATTCTGTGTGAGAATGAACGGGTATGTGTCTTTTAGATGCTGTACTTGGGCGATCAGATCGATATCATTTGTAGATGCTTGACGCAGATGCCGCAGATACCGCTGGGAAAGAATGAGTATCAGAAGGACGTAATTTTAATGAAGGAAATAATCCGGAAACACCAGATTGTCATCACCTTTTCGCAAAATATCGAAGCCCTCTACACGTACATCGCATTGATATTACTCGTGCTTAATACCTTAATTACCTGCGGCTTGGGTTTCCTACTTGTCACTGTAAGTAACTGCGACAAGTATCGCAGCAAGAAAAATAACAGTTACCGTAGATAAAACTTTGCGTAAAGATCTACCTGGAAACAATATGGAGATTCATTAATGACGCTTATACTTAATATAGAATTAATAATAATAAAAAACATTAATATTATGTATAACACGGAATAATACATTAATATAAGTTAATTGCTTGATCCGTTGTTAATTCCGTTGATATAATCGGAGTGCGTTTTCGGCCATTACAGTCAATTGGATCGCCCAACTTCTCTAAGATGTTGAGGAAGAACCTCATGTTCTATTCCGTGATGAACATTGAGACATTCGTATTTTGCTACGCCGGGGAATACCTTACTGCTAAGGTTAGCTTCCGCGATTATCTGTGTGATGCACGCTATATCCGACTTAATAGCCTCAACACTTCCCAAGCCCAGTTCCAAACGAATTTCTTGATTATGCAATGTGTGTACATAACATGATCGTGCATAATGACTGTTGATTATTCCGCGGGAGCCACTTCCCCGAAATAATCAACAGCTATAATGTATAAATAAGTAAACATACCGCGCGTACTCGTGAAATTCGTTGGAACTGGACTCAGTGAATGTCAAGGCTATTATGCTAGATTGGTATGGCGATACAAACATCATATCGCAATATGCAGTTTCAATTACGAAGTGTTTTCCTCTACGTGTCTAGTGGAGAGAAATCGGCGAGGCTGCGTACAATTCGCCCTGGTATCAATCCAAGTTCCACGGTCGTGCCATTTTATTCATGATGATGAGATCGCAGACTCAGCTGACGATCACAATGGGAAAGTTCATGGATCTCTCGTTGGAGCGATTCTCCAGTGTAAGATGCATGTGTAACTTTGCGTTGCGGTTCTCGCGATATGCAAGTGACACATTAATTAAAGATGTCTATGTGACATATTTTTGCAGATTGTAAAAGCTTCGGCGTCCTACGTGTCGGTATTGTTGGCGATGTATTGAAGACACACTCATAATCCGTATTCGTAATAAATACTTGAAATAAATGTTACATATTGTTAGTATCTAGATAAGAATTAAAGAAAGTTGACGCACGATTCACAGTTGAGAAGTACCTTGCTCTCTATTCAATTTCCAACACGTAAATAGTCAGTAAAAGAACGTTCCTATATATTACGGTTTTTCGTCAAATCAATTTGTCGCATATATTGGTTTTTTCACAAAATTAATTAAAGTAATCTATCGCATATATTGGTTTTTTATGGAATTAATTAAAACGCGTTTCTCACACTTATCTTTCATGTATCCACGGCGAGGAGGAGCGTTTCTCTTCGAATCACAATCGGAAGCGGCAGGATCGCGTGTATTGTCAAGGTGGAGAATAATATTGAATTGTATGACGGCTATCGTGGTGACATGTAAACATTGCGGCGACGGCTACAAAACACGATGTATACAAGGCTGCGTCCTCTGATGTAAGTTATTGAAGCTAACAATAATCTCTAAATGCGGCAGTTTAAAGAAAGTTTACACGTGCTTGTTGCTCCGTGAATCCGTCCGCGAGTCGACTTTTCTTTGACTTCTTTCTCCCGACTGTCATCTTTCACTCTTTCTCTCTCTACCTCTCTCTCTTTAACGGACTATAAGATACTTTTTTTCTTCTCCCGCTGTTGGGATTCGGAAAAACTCGAGATATCTTCTTCTCGCTGGTCATACACGTGTCGCCAATCGATATGTGCGTGTACGCTTAGAGAAAGCTTGAATTTTTCAAGATCGTTCTTGGCCGCAATTAGCAATTTGGAGAACGGACCGTTGTTCTGAACCCTATAATTTTCACAAAATATCGTTTCAAGTGTAGCTCTGGTGTGTCATATGATAATAACTACGGTGCAATAATTGGCGGTGTCGATGTTTCGATGTCTGAATACTCGACTAACAATATTTTCATTTTACGGTTTTTACTTATTGAATAGGTTCCAGTACCGTGAATAGGAAAGACCACATCTTAAAAAAATACAAGACGATCTTTCTGATGCGAAGTTAGTTACTGCGAAAAATAGAAGCAAATGAGCATTATTTACGTATCTCAGTAATCTGCGATTTTTGTTTACGAAAGTAATTGTTCCAAGCAGTAACCCAATAGTCCATACACAATGAAGTACATACCTCTTGGATATCTAAATATAGAAATAAAAGTAAATATAAAAGTGATTAATGAAACTCTGAATGTACAAAACTCATTGAAATAATATGTTTATTCGATTGAACGAATTATATAGTTATCAATTCAATGATTAGGATTTCGTCAGTAACTATATCAATGCAGCTTATTGTTGCATTAACACGTAATTTATTCATTAGATGTGATGTTTCTTCGAAGACAGGTTGATTTTATCGAGCCAACTACTTTCTTTTCTTAGTATAAAAATATAGAAGTAAATGTAAAATAAGAAAATAATCCGGTTTATATGAATAACGTTATTGTGAATTTCTGAATAAGTAAAGAAATGAGAGACTTCGTAGTAGAAAATTTTCATGTAAATTTGAATGGATAAAAGTCGCCACGACATTACTTGCTATTCTTGCCAATCACGTTCGTTTCATGACTACGTGCAACGCGCGAGTATCTTCGTGAAGAGTAGGAATAAACCCGTAAAAGAAGTCCTCAGAAGAGACAAGTCAACAACCTGAAATGCGCAAAGCTTATGCGTATAGAGAGCACCACACTCGCGTACGCGCGCATCTGTAGGTACATGTGGCATTTTTATTTTCCCTCCGATATTTCGTACGTTACCCCACGAGTTGCACGACACGCATGGTTGATTTTTATGCGTACACACAATTCCCGTCGTTTGCACGACACCCTGAATTATTAAGGCAACCGAGAGGAAAGTGCGCAGCAGTTGGTATGTACGTAAGAAATCCTCCGAACGGTTACTTCTTTTCTTTTGTAAATAACTCTTCGCAAAAAGTCGAGAGAACATTGTCCGCGATCGTTCGAGACAATTTGAAATCTGGCTGATGTCGTGTGCCACATCTACGCATGCTTGACTCCTTGCATTTTTAAAGAAAATTACACATCGTAGCGTACCGTTCGTCAAAGCAAGAGAGAGTCGCTCCCTTCAGTGACATTTCCTTTTTTCTTTTGATGTTTTTTATAGGAGATATATTATGAGAATGCGCGCGAGTGCATCCTCGCAAATGGTACGATACGCGAATACAAATATTTAATGAGCAATCCCTCCTGGGATCGAAGAAGGCTCGCTCAATTCATCTTCCGTCGGGGAACTTCAGTTCACAGAGGGACATCTAATCGAGTACATCTCGTCCGGTGATCAACGCGTCCACGTACGATAACGTCTGATACGGAATTGTCGCGTTACCGAGACTACCATTCGCAAGGAAAGAAAACAACATGGAAAAATCGAAAAGCGAGCAATCGAGAAGACTAATCAGTAGACCTCTCGAAATTTTGCTTCGCGTGTTCGGTATCTGGCCAGGCATATTGTATGGTGTGATCTACAAAGTATTTTGGTTGGTCGTGATGATAACCAGCACGACTCTTCAATACACATTTCTCGTCCTTCACGCGCGCTCCATCAACTTTACCATTTTCTTGTACTCGTTGGCTGCGACATTGGCGTTGAGCATGAAACTCATTAAACTAGTCATTTTCTGGTCCAATCAGCGGTGAGATAAATACAGCATAATTCGTATTGTATCTAAAATCGTGACGAAATCCAAAATACTGTCGTACGCATGTGATTTTTACTGTGCATGAATAAAAATATTCGATCCGGAAGCGGAAGAATCGCGGTGAATTTTTCATGGTCAATTTTTCATGGCGCGGCTGAACAGAGATGTCCGTTTGATTACTATGTTTTTATCGTCACGATAAAATATGCGTATGCGTTTATACGCTGACGTTATTAAAATAGGTACTCACAGCAAATACATCGCGACTCCTGGAATGTAATCGCCATGTTTAAAAATTTCGATATCCCGTCTAATATTATTATCATTCGTAAGAATAATCGATTGCAGAAGATTCGACGAAATGTGGAGAGTGATGTCGTTGAATTGGGAGCACAACAGTGCCTACGTGAACACATTCGGCACGACCAACAAAACGCACGTGTCGCATTATTTGGCCAACTTCATTGTGGCATTCAGTACGGTGTCGATAATATTGAACTCCTACAGCATTCTTCTGAGCGGGATTCATTACGACGAAGCTTCCAACGGTACGCGACCGTATATTCTGATGATGTATCTTCCTTTTCACATCAATACGCAACCCGTGTATCTACTCGTAATGTTTCTACAATTTTCCTACGCGTTGCTCCTCTCCGCCGGCGCCGCCACCCTTAATTCGGTTCTTATTATTTTGGTGAGTGTCGCGGAATCACTCAAATAAAATGTTTCATTGTCGATTACTTTCCCTTCTATATAGTAATGGACAGGCTCGTGTCTTTTAGATGCTCTACTTGGGCGATCAGATCAATGTCATTTGTAGACGTCTGATGAGTATGGCAGAGGACGAGCACACGACGAACGTGACTGTGATAAAGGAAATAATCCGGAAACACCAGAGTGTCATTACCTTCTCGGAAAACATCGAATCCCTCTACACGTACATCGCGTTGATATTAATCGTGCTCAATACTTTAATCACCTGCGGCTTGGGTTTCATACTCGTCTCGGTGAGTGTGGATGATGAGTCTCACAGCAAACAGAATAATGATTACTGCAGATAAAGCCTTACCAAAGGTTCCGCCTGTATGTCCTGTGAATAATGAGAATTATGCATACCTTTAATCGCATTTATCCGCTTAATATGTTATTAATGAGATATTAAATATACTAATGACAGACATTAATATTGCATAACAAGCGAAATTAATATATTAATACAAGTTAATTATTATTCTATCGATTCGCCGCTATCGTGCGACTTTGTCGACTATTATAGGCAATTGGATCGCCTAATTTCTCCATGATACTAATGAAGAATCTCATGTTCTACTGCGCGATTAATATTGAGACATTCGTATTCTGCTTCGCTGGAGAATATATTAGCGCCAAGGTTAGCTGTTGCATCCGCAACCATCGACTGTGTACGGTAATGAATGTAACGTAACCTAGATTTTCGATCATGAGGTGTTTCCTTCTCCGTATGCAGAGCAAAGAAATCGGTGAGGCTGCGTACAATTCGCCCTGGTATCAATCCAAGTTCCACAGTGGCGCCGTTTTGTTCTTGATAATGAGATCGCAGCATCAGTTGACGATCACAATGGGAAAGTTCATGGATCTCTCGTTGGAACGATTCTCCAGTGTAAGATGCGCCGCGTAGATTTCGCCTTGCACCCCTCGCGATTACCGAGCGACGTCTCGTGTGCGTCGAATTAAAGTTGCTCATTCGACATTGTTGCAGATTGTAAAAGCTTCAGCGTCCTATGTGTCGGTCCTGCTGGCGATGTATTGAGGAAAAAGCACCTTTTGTAATAAACACTTTAATTAAATATTACGAGTTGTTGTAGCTAGAAATTAGTAGTTAGTAAAATTACTTGTGTTTCGGAATTATTATTACTTTGGAATGAAAGGGAATTAACACACGATTCGCAGTTTCAATATACTTTGCTTCCGTTTTTGCTTTCCGACGCGCGACGTGTCAATAACGAACCGTTTATACTTTTTTTTTTGCAAATGAATTGATCACGTTTTGGTTCCTGCGAATTCAATTATAAGATGTTGCTTTCAATTGTGAGATAATGTTTTCAAACTTTTCTTTGATGCGACCACGAGAAGGAGGAGATGGAGGAAGAAGTGTTTCTCTCTTCGAGTCGCAATCAGATGCGGCGAAATCGTACTTGCCATAGTCAACGCGACACCTTCGCGATCAACAATGTTGCATTGTAAGCGAGCGACATACGAATAGAACGCCGTCGATTAGAGAACACGGTGTAACCTCGGCTGCGTCCTCCGACGTAATTTGCTCAAGCTACCAATGACTTGGGAGCTGCAGTTTGTGGGGATTACAAGATATATGTCTTACTTCCCTGAATCCATCCAGTGAGTCGGCTCTGCCGTACGACCCTTCGACTTATTTCCTCGGATTTATCATCTTCGGACTATAAGATACTTCTTCACTTCGCTCTCTTTTTGGATTTGTTCATTCGGAAAAACTTCTTTGACGGTCATGCACGATTCACTATACGGACGAATCGATATACGTGTGCCGCGTGCGCGCTTACGCGAACGCGCTTGAATTTTTCAAGCAAAGCGTTCTTGACCGTCGTATCGCGATCTGTCATTGGAAAACAAAACGTTGTGTGCCCTCCACAATTTTTTTTCACCTATACTCGCGTTGCGATTTCATTTTCCCCAATGATGTTTTGCGCGTTAGTTTGAGTTCTTGAGCGTATACAGTTGAATTTCATATGTACACACGCACACAATGCAATACACAATATCGATACCTTTGTATTATTAAGGCACGCAAGAAACGGAGCAGCAATTGTTCTATACGTAAAAAATGCTTTGGTCAGTTGCTGTCTTTTCTTTTCCTTTGAAAATAAATGTCCGTGAAAAGTCAGGGCAACATTATTTGCGAGAAACAATTCAACAACCGACGGATAATACATGTTGCGTGCACGCACACCTGACTCTATAAATGTTTAAAGAAAATTGTCTATCGCAGCGTGCCGTCCGACGATTCAGAGGAAAATTGTCTTTCTTGAAGACATTTTCTTCTCTTTTTCTTCATCAAGCGCCATCAAGAGACATCGAAAAGGTGCAACGAATATACACGCGAGTCGTATGATGCGCGAATGCAAATATTTAATGAGCGATTTCTACTGGGATCGGAGAAGGGAATACTCGTTCGGTTCATCTTCCATCGAGACACTTCAGTTCACGGAAGGACATCTAGTCGAGCACATCGTTCAGCAATCAACGCGTCCACGTACGATAACGTTCGATACGGACGAACTGTCACGTTACCGGGATCCCTTTTTGCAAAACGAGGAAAGGAGACAACATGGAAAAATCTAAAAGCATGCAACCGAGAAGACTGATCAGCAGACCACTCGAAATTCTGCTTCGCGTATTCGGTATCTGGCCAGGAATATTGTACGGTGTGGTCTGCAAAGGATTTTGGTTGATTGTGATGATAACCAACACGACCCTTCAATACCTATTTCTCATTCTTCACGCGCGCTCCATCAACTTTACTATTTTTTTGTACTCGTTGGCTGCGACACTGGCGTTGAGCATGAAGTTCATTAAACTAGTCATTTTCTGGTCCCATCAACGGTGAGAAATATACGGTATAATTCGTGTTGTGCGCCTGAAATCGTTATGGGATCGAGAATACTGTCGTACGCGTGTGATTTTCGCTATGCATGCATATACGTGCATTTCGATGCATGAATATAAGTGTTAATCGGGAATCGGAGAAATCGCGGTGAGTTGGACTTTTTAATATACTCTTTATTATACTTTTTAATATACTTTTTAATATACTCTTTCTCTCTGAGTGAATAGAAATTTTAGCTTAATCGCTAAGTTTTTATCGTGCGCGATGAAATACGCATGCGTTCATTTATACACCTTATTAAAATCAGCACTCACCGCGATTACATCGCGACTCCTCGACTCGTCATGTGCAAAAATCCAAACATCCCGGCGAGTGTTATTATGGTCCGTAAGAATAATCGCTTGTAGAAGATTCGATGAGATGTGGGGAGCGATGTCGAATTGGGAGCGCGGCGGTGCCTATATGAACACATTTGACACGACCAGCAAGACGCACGTGTCGCATTATTTGGCCAACTTCATCGTGGCATTCAGTTCCGTATCGGTAGTATTGAACTCTTACAGCATTCTTCTGAGCGGAATTCATTACGACGAAGCTTCCAACGGTACGCGACCGTATATTCTGATGATGCATCTTCCATTCGACGTTAATAGACAATCAGTGTATCTACTCGTGATGTTTCTGCAATTTTTCTACCTGTTACTCCTCTCCGCCGGTGCCGCCACCCTTAATTCGGTTCTTATTATTTTGGTGAGCATTGGAAGCAAACATTGTTCAAACACAGCAATTCGTCGTCTAGCTAATTGTCAATTTCTTCTCGCAACACGAGAATCAACAGAGTCTCTTTTAGATGCTCTACTTGGGCGATCAGATCGATGTCATTTGTAGATGCCTGATGACTATGGAAGAGGACGAGCTCAAAACGAACGCGAATATGGTCAAAGAAATAATTCGGAAGCATCAGAGCGTTATTACGTTTTCGGAAAACATCGAATCCCTCTACACGTACATCGCGTTGATGTTAATCGTGCTCAATACTTTAATCACCTGTGGCTTGGGATTTATACTCGTCACGGTGAGTACGGACGACAAGTCTTATAGCAAACGAGAAAAATAATTGCTACGGTTAAATCCTTGTCAAAAAGTTCGTCTGTGAACAATACGTATATCTTTAATCACCTTCATCCGCTTAATATATTATTAATGAAATATTCAATACATCAATAACATATATTAATATTGTATAACACGTGAAATCATATATTGATGTAAGTTATTTATCATTATATCGATTCACCGTTATTGTGCGACTTTGTCGACTATTATAGGCAATTGGATCGCCTAATTTCTCCATGATACTAATGAAGAACCTCATGTTCTACTGCGCGATTAACATTGAAACATTCGTATTTTGCTTCGCCGGAGAATACATTAGTGCCAAGGTTAGCTGTTGCGTCCGCAATCATCGACTGTGTACGGTAATGAATGTAACGTAACCTAGATTTTTGATCATGAGATGTTACCTTCTCCACACGCAGAGCAAAGAAATCGGCGAGGCCGCGTACAATTCACCCTGGTATCAATCCAAGTTTCACAGTAGCGCCGTTTTGTTCCTGATAATGAGATCGCAGCATCAGTTGACGATCACAATGGGAAAATTCATGGATCTCTCGTTGGAACGTTTCTCTACTGTAAGACGCGCCGCGTAGATTTCACCTTGCGATATCCAAGTGACATCGCGCTGAATTAAAATTGTTCATTCGACATTGTTACAGATTATGAAAACTTCAGCGTCCTATGTGTCGGTTCTGCTGGCGATGTATTAAAGAGAAAACACATTTCATAATAATTTTAACTAAATGTTATGAGTTATTAGTTAGGAATTATAGTGATTAGTAAAGCTGTTTGTATTTCGGGATTATATTAGTAGTTGGGAATGAAAGAGAATTAGTACACGATTCGCAGTTGAGATATGCTTTGATTCTGTTCAGTTTCCTATATGAAATGCGTTAATAATGGCCCGCTTACTTCTCTCTCTTTTTTGGCAATAAAATTTTTCACGTGTATTATTTCTGCCGAACTTAATTACGAGGAGATGTTTTTAAGCATTTCTTTGATGCAACCACGAAGAAGCGCAGGAGGAGGAAGTTTTTCTCTTCAAATCACAATCGGAAATGACAATATCGCACTTGTCACAGTTAAAGCGACACTCTCGCGACGAACAATGTTGCATTGTAAAGCATCACGGTGACACGTAAATAGGACATCGTCGATTACAGAACGCGGTGTAATCCCGGCTACGTCCTCCGAAGCATACGTAATTTGCTCAAGCTGCCAATGACTTGAGCTGCAGGTTGTGAAAGATTACACGATATATGTTGCTCTGAATTTATCCGTGAGTCGACTCCCTCTTTTCTATACGACCCTTCGATTTATTTCCTCGATTTATGGCGTCGTCTTTGGCGGACTATAAGATACTTTTTCTCTTCGCCTTTTCTTGGGGTTTGCCGATTCGAAAAAACTCGAGATATCTTCTTTATAACAGTCATGCACGATTCGCTAATCGATATGTATACGCGTGCCGCGAGCGCGCTTATGCGAATACTTGAATTTTTCAAGAAAATCGTTCTTCACCGTCGTACCGTAATCAATGACTGGAGAACTGACCGTTGTTGTGGCCTCCATAATTTTTTTCTTTTACAGGCACTGAGAAATATTGTGAAAAACGTAACTTTCGTTTGGTATGCGATAATAACCACGGCGGAAAGTTAGAAGAAAGATAGTTATCGATAATTGTGTGAATGTCAGACCACTTAACTTTTATTCAAACATCTCAGTCTCTCAGGTATCTCTCAGTTATTTTGCGAATCACTCGGATACTCGAGTGCTATGAATAGTACAAATAATGTCTTAGAAAAGCAACAGACAAAACTGGCTAACACAAAGTCGGCTGTTGCGAAAACTAATAACAGATGACAAATGAAAATTATACGAGTATTACTCACGATTTGTTATAGTTTGTTTCTGGATAATTCGTTATTGCGGGCTGAACTCAAATGTCTAGGTGAGCAGATTCACAAGTTTGAGTACCAAGCAAATATCTAAGTTATATATTATATAGTATATTATATATATAGAGATAGAGTATATTATATATATAGATATATGTATATATATAGAGTATATTATATATACTTACTTATTCTGATAGCGCTAATAGAAATTAGCAAATTTTTCTGTTAAATTTTTGCATTGAGGAAATTTGCGATACATCTTGACAGTTGGTTGGGTTAGACGGTTTTATAACTGAACGATATTCCTTGCTTCATCCAAAGCTTCTTCGAGTCTTTTCCATTCCCAAGATCTAAAAACTGTTTTACGGATCACGTCGCTTGCCATCGAATACACGTCCCCACGCGTATGTCCTCGCAAATCGTTACATATTTGGCGCGAATTATTCACGAACGTGTCATGAGCACGACTGACAGGGAGAGCATTCTTTTTTCCCGTGTTTTTTCTCTCGAAGTTGCTACGGCAAAATGTCTCCGCGATCTACACGCGACTTAATGCGAATAATTGATGAGCGACTCCCATTGTTCGATCGCGCAAAGCTACACACTCGTCTCTCAGTCGCTCGAGAGTCCTCAGTCTTCATACTAATTTTGCGTAAAGCACATCGAGCTCGAAAATACGCAATTCTCACGAAAGCGCGTCTTGCATGTCGACGCGTGCGTTCGCTCGATCACTCGCGTGGCTCCTGACGCCTCGACTAGTGCATAAACCCCGTAGCTACGAAAAAGATAATATTAACACAAAAAAAAGTATGACTAGTAAAAATACGATTAATCGCACGGTGGAGCTGATGCTCTCCATGTTCGGCGTCTGGCCAGGAGTGTCGTGTGTTATAATCTACAGATTGTTTTGGATCATTGCGCTAGCAATCAGCGAGTTCTTCCATTACCGGTATATGGTGACGCATTTGAACCTCGACAATCTCTTCGGCTTGATGGACTGCTTGAGTAGTTTCTTGGCGCACGTGAAACTGACCGCCAAACTCATCATTTTTTCGTGGAAACAACGGTAAGTGACAATAGACGTAATAATCATGCGAGAATTTACACGAGGGACATTGCAATATAAAATTCAGAGGCCCATTAACAATTATTACTTGAAACTCGTCTCAACTGAGATACTCAGATTCGAATCTAGAGTTAGATGAAGTTTTACAGTTGAATCGCGATGACATAACAAAAATGTCATGTAACATAACATTCGAATAAAAAATTTGAATTTGACTCTGAATAAAAATCTAAGCATTTTCCATGAGACAAGTCTCAAATAACAACTATTAATATGGGTCACAGACAGTCGGAGGCGAAAAAATCCTTGGATTATTTTCACAATTAAACAAGATGACTGTGTTGGGACTGTGGTGTCGAGAAATTCACCTCCTCAATCATGTTTTTGTGGTGAGAATTTTTCCCAGTCTATAACCTCTGTCTTTACACTGGAAGTGTAAAACCATCTGTCTAGCATGCTGGACTATTGATTATTGCTTAAGAAATTTACTTTAAAGTATGACAATTAGTTGCACTACAAAATAAAGAATTAAAAATTCCAAAGAGAACGTTTTTATATTCTGGTGATTCTCTGAAGTTAAGAAAAACCTAACACTTTTATAAAATTTGGAAATAGTTTGCTTTAAGATTGAGGAGGCTATTAAAAAGTTTTAGTGATTTATATTTGGTCAGAAATCGCATGAGCATATGCGAGGATTTCGTCGTCGTCGTCGTCGTCGTCGTCGTCGTCGTCGTCGTCGTCGACATGATCGGCAAACGCAATTGTTCGCAGACAATTTATCGAAATCTTGACGACGATGTCGGAAGACTGGAGCGATTGCTCGAGCAATAACATCGCGTTGCACGAAACGGCGCGCAAAACGAAAATCTCGAGTCGTATTTGCAACGGGCTAATTATCCTCCACACAATCGGCGCGTTTACATACGTCATTGGCATCCTCCTGGCCGACGCTGACGTAACCGATCGAACGGCCGAACTGCCCCTCATGATGAAAATGGAATATCCCTTCGTCATAGACACGCGAAACACATACAGGCTCGTGTTAGTTACGCAGTTCGTGTTCGTGATGGTGTGCAGCTGGGGAGCTGGTTTATTCAACGCTCTGCTTCTAACTCTGGTAACCAGCACCTACATGAGCAAGTATCATGAACAAACTATGATCGTATAATACAATCATATTGGATAAACTAAAAATATTTCATCTCAAAATTATTTGCATGAGAAATATGTTGTGTATGTATATGTATGTGTGTATGTGTGAAAAGGGTAAAAAATTTTATTTTATACTTCATGAGACTCGATTCATCCCCGTGCACTTCGTTGAAGCTACACGGAGAGAATACTGTTGTTTCTTGTTTTATATAATTTCTTTTTGCCATATTTTTTTACTATGTTCTTATTATTTTTTGATAGTCCAAAAATAAATTATCAGTAAGATCTATCTTGCTGAAGAACATAGTAAATTTCGTTAGAAACATATCTAATGTTTTAACAGTTTTTAAAATATAAGTAGCATATATGAAATAGAAGAATAGTGAATTACTGCAGAATATCAATCTGTTCCTCAGTTACAAAATTCTATAGCGATTTTCACGATAAAATTTTCCCCGTATACTTTTCATAAAAATACTTTGATCTATTTGTGTTGTACTTTTTTCACTCGCTTAGACGTATATCTATAATAATTTCTATAATAAGTCCTGACTTATATTGTTATGAGATAAAAGAATCTTTTTCTTTTAGACTTTACATATAGGTGGTCAAATGAATATTTTGCTTCGTTGGCTAGTGGGAACTATACAGCCCGAAGAAATTAGAAAGAACGGCGAGTCATTCATTACAATGACGAAAATAATCCGGAAGCATCAGAAAATTATCCACCTTTCGGAGAACGTTGACGATCTCTATTCGTACATCACTTTACTGCAATTTGCGTCGAACACGGTAATGATTTGTTCATTGGGATTTCTCATAGTGACCGTGAGTAATTATTAATATATAAAATTAATTTTATATATTAATATTAATTATTAATATAAATATTAATTATTAATACATAAAATAGATATAAAAATATACATTTCCTCTGCTAATAAATGACAATGAAAATGTTTGTGGTTGACCAACGACCATTCCTAAAATGTGATCGCTTTTTGATCATATTTTATCCGTAATAGGAAGGTTAAAATTGATCATTATTTTCCTCTTCAAGCCAATAAATACCATGCCAATAATGCCACATATTGATACATCAACACTATCGATATATTTTATTAATATTCTTACTTTATTGTTCACTATGTCTCTTTTCATAAAAAAATGTTCCGTCAACTCGCTAATGTTGATATATAAAATTTATGAATTTTAATATCGTGCTTTACACAAAGCACAGTTTGTTTTATGCTCTCATTATATTGAAATCTTATCCCTTTTCGAAGATATGTGTGCGTTTACAAAAAGCAAGTGATATAATTGTTACAACATATTTGTTGCGTGTATTTATAGTAATATACAAATATAAAATATAATATACGATAAAATAATGCAAGTATATGTTTTTACTTCCAATTGCATAGCTGCAATTAAAAGTGCCGTCTGAGTATCTACTTACAATTTTACATCATTGTTCATTCGCATTTTGCATTGACATTATAGGCGCTCGGTAATCCCGATGCCACGGAACAAATAATGAGATCTCTCTTATTTTACGCCGTAACGAATCTCGAAGCGTTTATATTTTGCTTCGCTGGTGAATATCTGACGAACAAGGTTAGCGATGGAAAACGATGAATATCTGTCAAACAGATAATTTTGCATTTATAATATTGAAAATAATGACAGAAAAAGGAATACTAATAAATGATTTTATTGCTTTGATCCCCGTAGAGCAAATCAGTTGGAAACGCAGCGTACAATTCCGAATGGTACGATATGAAAGTTAAAGATTGTCGTGTTTTGTTATTTGTGATTTTAAGATCGCAAAAGCAACTAAAGCTTACAGCCGGCAATATGATGGATCTTTCTTTGGAATCTTTCACGAGAGTAAGATGAACAAAGTTTACAGTAGACTATTTTCTTTTTTTATCAAACCACCGTGTTTTTAAAGCATTTCTGTTTATAAACATTTGTATATAATAATATTATGATTACACATACACATAAATGTACACATATTTTTCTTTTACCTTTATCACAAGGATGAACGATGTTATAGATTATGAAGGCTTCGGGATCATATCTGTCAGTGCTATTGGCAATGAGGTAAACATCGAGAGTTTCTATTTTGCCATTTTCTAGTCGATAACAATCGCATGAAATGACATAAACAGAGAATGGCAAGTAGATCTCTTCACTGAATTGTTTTCACCGATGGTAACATATTGCGAAGGAAGTATATATCCAAAAGTATGTACCTGTATGACAAAAACGTAATATGTAGAAAATAATACAAAATCATGTTCTGTTGAATAACTACACAATAGAAATCAACATGTTGCTTGTTGAACGCTAATTACTGTTACAGGTCGCAGGTGTTAATTGTTTTAACAGTAACGCGATAACACTTCATTAATAATTTCGGTAACAAATGCAAATTAACGGCAACTTCCTTTTGAAAGTTGCAACATTATACATGTGAAAGATACTAGTCGTCGCGATTTTTATGCACATAGAAGGGGGATGGAGATGGCAATTTTCACAATAAAAATGAGGCAATGATTCGTGAGAAAAGATAAAAATAAAAATATCTCCGAGACGATAATAGAAATAATGGAAAGTATACTGTTGTTACTTTCTGAGTGAATAATAACAATAACGAGTTACTTCCTTTCAACGGGTAACAAGTAGCATAACGAGTGACTTTTAAAAAATAACTTTCCCAACCTTGAGAATAATTTGTATAAGATTGTTAATGCGTGCAGATTTCCATGAATTACAGTGAAATCATTATACTATTTTTGTTAATGCGAAGAGGAATACGCCTTGACGGGCCTCTGACGAGTGTTAAAGATTGCCGAGAGGAGATTGTCGTGTTATATAGACAAAGCAAATAAATCAAATGAATAAGAATATACTAATCCCGTTGATTTCACTAGTTTTCGTAACATCGCGTAGCACATCGCGTAGCACCATTGTATTCCTGATAATAAAAGTAAAAAAACTTCCAGCTGCGAGATCGGTAAAAGTTGAGCTGTGTACAGTTTGTACTCAAATATCTAACTTACCTTTGCGGACGATAAAAATATAAAATATTTCGTAAGTATCTCAAAGTTCGAAATAATAATATTTTTATATAACCCTCGATAATTCAAAGGAGTACAATCTGAAGAGTGTTGACATATACTAAATAAAACTTATTCCGTGCAACTTGTTTACATGCATCAAGAATAAATTTAACCTCGTACATTGTATTTCACCAGATCTACTCTTACACACCGAACAACATTTACTTTTGCATTCGGCAACGAATACGTGAATCCTCGCGACAACGCTATAGCACAAATAAATCTTCTTAACACGCAAAAAGACACAATACTCCGTATACTATCGAAACGTTTCACAATTTTACCATTCGCCTCTTCGCTCCGAAAGTTCGTTACCAGCTATAGACTTAAAAACTTCCTCGAAGACAGCTAGACACAACTAACCATCGATAGCACGTCGTCCTACCTACGTCCGCACGCAACTTATTATATATTTAAAGCGACCAATCTCACAAACGTATCTCCGACTAATGTTGGAAGTAAAAAAGGATCGCTCCAACGATATATCCTTACGTGAAAGTTTTGAGAACTCGCGGCAAGTGTATTCGACAGTTGCGCGTATCATGATAAATGTTTAATGAGCGCTTTTCATTGGTCGGTCGTCGAGGGGTCCACCTATTCGATGACCTCTTAGGACTTCCCAGTCTTCGCGCAGATATTGCGCGATATATGTCGAGCCGTCGTTGAAAACTATATCAGCAAGATAGTTTCTTTATCTTCACTTTCCTTGAAAGTGCTTCTATCGGCGTACACCCTGATGTACGTGCGTGCCTACCAGGAGAGAGTGAAATAAGGGAACACGATGGAGTCCAAAAGTACGGTTCATCGCACGACGAAACTCGTGTTCACTCTGTTCGGCATATGGCCGGGCATGTCGTACGTTCTCATCTGCAGGATATATTGGTTCATCATATTGATGTCCGACGAGATCTGGCTCTACCGGTATTTCCAATCGCATTTTCAGCTTGAGAACCTGCCGAATCTAGTGGACTGTCTCAGTGCATTTATGGCGCATATGAAAGTCCTCACTAAATTGTTCGTCTTTTGGTTTAATCAGCAGTAAGTGAAAACGGATCAACAATAAGCGTAGCGGATGCAAAAAAATCACTCGGACAATTCCGATCGATTCGCAGGAAATTCGTCGAGATCTTGACAATGATGACGGAAGACTGGAGCGAGTGTGCCGACAACGACAACGACTTGCGTGAGACCGCGTGTAAAGCGAAATTGTCCGGTCGCATCACTGTCGCTATGTTAGTCCTTCACGTGTTCAACGCCATTACATTCTGCATCAATGTCTTCTTAGCGGTATCCGATGTCGATATCGACGACAGCGACTTCGAGCTACCCTTCTTCTTGAAAGTGGAATTTCCTATGCGCATCAGTTCACTACGCACATATAAAGTGATGTTGAGCGTGCAATTCGTGAACCTTCTGTTCATCATCATCGGTACTGGTATGGTGAATGCTCTGCTCTTAACTTTGGTACGCAACCCTATGACCGCTCATTACATCTATTTACACACAAAAAATATGATCTCATTCTATGCGGAATACTCTTTTATATGGGATTTCAAGATTTTTCTAACAGAAATACCTTCTCGTGAAAAGTTTTCGCTTAGAATATAAGATTACAGGAATAGTACCTATGTAACAAGAGTTCTTCTCTTTGGATGTTAGATTATTTTCTTTCTGATCGTAGAAGAATCCTTTTGAGATCTTTAAATTAGAGAATCCTGCTGAAATTAAGATTATATTTGTCTGGGTATACTAAAGTGTAAAATAACTTTAGCACGCAATGTATAATTAGATTACTAATATTTTATAATTGTTCACATTCGTCTCTGAACTTTAAGTTGATGATATCACAGTGAAAAATTGCCGATTTGATATATTATTTCTCGAAGAATTCTTTTCAATAAATGATGAATCAATAATGTGTACGGTTAGATGTTCCCAGTGACCTAGTTACATTGCGTACTAAGGACAAATTGCCGCCCAGTGAGTATATATTTCTACTATGTAAAATTTGCTGCTGTTCCACGATAAAAATGCGCCAACATCTGTGAGTGCTTCAACGATCGATAGAGAATTGCGTTTTCCAGGTTTTACACGTGGGAGGTCAAATTAACATCCTGTGCGCTTGGCTGAATAAGCTTGCACCAAAGAAGAACGAAGGAACGGACAAACTCGTGGTAGTTATGATAAATAAAATTATCCGGAAGCATCAGCGGATTATCCAGTTTTCAACGCATATCGAGGATTTGTACAGATACATCTCGTTCGTACTATTTGCCACAAACACAACGATGATCTGTATGCTGGCGTTCCTCGTCTTAACTGTGAGTATCGTGCCAAGTATTACCGATAAGAATAACAAGCTTTACTGTGGAATTAATTGCCGTGTCTCGCGTATTTCTACACGTAGTATTAATGTGATATCTCAATATTATACCATCGCACTCTCTTTACGTCCGATTACATCGGTTGAACCGACTACTCGTTCAATTCGACTCGTATTTTGTGCAAAGTGTTATAATAATGCTTTGTTAATTCTCCGCGCGTGTCGCTGCCACATTACTCAACAGTCGCTCAACAGTCCCGACGCAACTGAGCGGGTATTGGGGTCTCTTCTGTTTTATACTATTACGAACCTGGAATCGTTCATATTTTGCTTCGCGGGAGAATATCTGAGGAACAAGGTTTGAAACGAGAGAACGGTTACGACGATAATCGATAATATAGTGGAATTTGAGTTTACCGTATTAAAGGAGATTTATGCCACCTAAGAGATATCTCGTTTGTAGAGCAAAACGATCGGGGGCGCAGCGTACAATTCGACGTGGTATGACCTGAGGCCCAAGGATAGTCGCGTTTTGTTATTTGTAATATTAAGGGCAAAGAAGCAATTGTCGCTCACGGCCGGCAAGATGATGGATCTTTCTTTGGAGAGCTTCGGAAATGTAAGAATTATGCACAACGCGCAGAATCGATTCTATTAGCAATAATGTACATGATATTTGTACTCGAAGGCTACAGAAAAGTCGCTTCTGTAGCTCTTTACTTACGTGATTTCTTACGCAATAAACTTATCATACTATAGTGCATTGTTAAAAGTGCATTTTTCCCAAGCGACGGTATGCTATAAGGAACAATAGAAACCTGAAACTGTGTAATAAAAATGACCTAACCTTATTATAGATCATGAAAGCCTCGGCGTCGTATATGTCGGTGCTGTTGGCGATGCAATGAACGTCGTCGTCGTCTTTGGTTTGAATGTTCCCAAGCGATATACTACTGTGATCAAAAAGTATCGGGAATGATTCATTTAAACTGCGCGCGTGCAAGATGACCTGGTCGTTTTTTCCCAGGTTGGTACTTTCATCGACATCTAGCTGCAATCCGTATGTCATTATCTGTTTTTATTTGCAAATAAACGCTAGTTTTGTGTGTAAAGAATTTTTGCTCCGACGATTTTCCAAAATGTTGAGAGTAATTAAGCAAAGAACGTGCATTAAATTTTGTTTTCGCAAAGGAATTACTGCTACAACGTTACTGCAAACGTTAGAATTACTGCAAACGTTAGAAATATTGCAAAAAGCTTTTGGTGACGATACTCTATCAAAAACGATAGTTTTCGAATGATACAAGATATTCGAGGAAGGCGAAGAACGTCTCGAAGGTGGACTACGCTCTGGTAGACTATCCACTTCAACTGATGAGTAACACGTCGCTCAAGTCATAGATTTAGTGCTCAATAATCGTCGTTTAACAATTGGAAACATAAATGAACATGTTCCAGTATTATTTGGGTTATGTCAAACAATCTTAAAAGATTATTTGGGTTTGCAACGCGTTGCTTCTCGAGTCGTCCCTAAAACGCTCATGAATTTCTGGCCAAAAATTCAATTAATATATTTCATAAGCTCCGTATTCACCTGATATGACACCGTGTGACTTTCCCCTGTTTCCTCGACCAAAATTTCCACTTCGCGGTCACCGTTTTGAGTCGATTGATGCCATAAGAGAAAATTCGCTGCGAGTTCTAAAGAGTTTCACAAAAACGATTTTAAAGCATGTTTCAAGGACTGAACAAAATGTTAGCGTAAATGCATTGTAGTGGGAGGGGATTACTTTAAATGAGACAAAATAAATTTTGATTAATAAATTCAAATCTTGCGGTTTATTGAACCATTTCCGATACCTTTTGGTCACAGTAGTATATCTGTGAAAAGTATGTGCCAAGTGGTGTGTGTCCATGTTTTTACTATCCCGAGTCGTCTATGACATGTCTATAAAGAATAAAGTCAAAATCATGTGAAAATCAATTATCTATTAGATATTTCTTAAACTTTATCACAATATCAAAAAGATATCATGTAGATGTCGATAATCTTGTCATTATCTAGTTTATATTATATTATATTTAAGCTGATATAAGATGTATCGACTCAATTTGAATATGATATCGAAAAACTGAATACATCATTGACAATCGAATAATATCTATATGATTATCTTTAGATATCATTGTACTATTTAAGGATATTAAATTGACTATTAATATTGAAATGATGTAATCTTTATTTTTTGCCGACTTTAATTTTTTTATACGGTCACATAATAATGCATTTAATTTTATTCCTTTGTAGTGAGGTATATTGCAAAATTATTGCAATAATATAACAATATTATATAATAAGTACATAAAAAAGGAATTATAATTTGTTTAATATTTCAAATGTATGTAAATATGCAATGTATCTCTGAGTATTAACAAATACAATTATTTTACATAACACATATTTTTAGCGTGACAAATTTTCAAAAATTTTAAGTTTTCTGAAAACATTAAATTATGAGCATTTAACATTTAGAGATAATTTAATTGGAAAGTTTATATTTGTAAATATATTTGTGAAGTCCAAAATGAAATTAATTCAAAACGGGCCGTGAGTGGATATTTATATACTATGTTATTAATGCTATATATTTGGATAATATATATGTACATATGTATTAATAACATTATATAAATAAATAACAGATATAAATAAATAAATAAACAAAGATCAGTAGATATAAATTTGTAGAATTGTAATATAATATTATTAGGATATATGTATTATCCAATATACACATATATATTATCCAAATATATAGAATTAATAACATAGTACAGAAATATTGTGTGTCTACTCATGGCCCGTTTTTAATTAATAACATTTTTAGCTTCATAAATATAATTACAAACTTTCTAATTAAATTTTTTCTAAATGTTAAATGCTTACAATTTAAGGTTTTTAGAAAACTTAATTTGAAAGTTTATTTATACTTATATGAAAGCTAAAAATAACATTAATTAAAACAAGTACAAGTACAAGTGAACATATAATATTTGTGCAGTAAGCCATCGATATTCTGTTACTTTCGAAAATATGTAGACAATCTGCAATATAATGTTGATCCTCAGAACATTCAATCAGAATCGCTTTCTCAAGAATATCATAAACAGGTCGCATTATTAATGTTTCTATATAAAAAGAACACAATTTTAAATAATAAGCTTTGGCTCCTAAAAGATGTAATAACAAGTAACGTAACAAGTGATTTTTAAAAAGTAACTTTTCCAAACCTGAAAATAGCTTGTATAAGATTGTTAATGCGTGCCCACTTCCATGAATTACAGCGAGACCATTGTACTATTTTCATTAATGCAAAAAGCATCAAGAGGCCTCGACGGGCCTCTAACGAGTGTTAAAGATTGCCGAGAGGAGATTGTCGTATTGTATAGATAAAACAAATTCGCACATAAATGAGTAAGAATATACTAATTCTATTGATTTCACTAGTTTTCGTGATAGCACATCGCATAGCACACCGCGCGATTGTATTCTTGATAAATAAAAATAAAAAAGCTTCCAGCTGCGAGATCAATAAAAGTTGAGCTGTGTACAGTTTGAACTCAAATATCTGACTTACCTTTGCGGACGGTAAAAGTATAAAATATTCCATAAGTATCTTAAGGTTCGACACAATAATATTTTTATGTAACTTTCGGTAATTCAACAGGAGTTCACGATCTGGAGAGTATTAAAAAATACGAAATAAAACATGTACCGTGCAGGTCTTTCCACTTGTCTACATATATCAAGAGTATCAACTTTTACCTTGCATATTGTATTTCACATGTTTCATTTTTACACATCGAACTTTTTTCTTTAGCATTCGCCAACCGTGAATCTTCGTAAGACAACACTATAGCGCAAATAAATCTTCTTAACACGTAAAAAGACACAATGCACTTTTGCAACGTTTCACAATTTTATCGCTTGCATCTTCGTTCCAAAAGTTCTTTACCAGCTATAGACTTGAAAACTTTCTCGAAGACAGCTAGACACGACTAGCCATCGATAGCACGTCGTCCTACCTACGTCCGCACGCATCTCATTACATATTTAAAGCGACCAACCTTACAAACGTATCTCCGACCAATGTCGGAAGAATAAAAGGATCGCTCCAACGGTGTATCCTTACGTGAAAGTTTTGAAAACTCGCGACAAGTATATTCGACAGTTGCGCGTATCACGATAAATGTTTAATGAATGCCTTTCATTGGTCGGTCGTCGAGGGACGCACCCATTCGATGATCTCTTAGGACTTCCCAGTCTTCACGCAGGTATTCCGCGATACACGTCGAGTCGTCGTTGAAAACTACATCAGCAACATAGTTTCTTTATCTTCACCTTCCTTGAAAGTGCTTCTATCGGCATACACCCTGATGTACGTCGTCGTGCGTGGCTACCAGGAGAGAGTGAAATAAGAGAACACAATGGTGCCCAAAAGTACAGTTCATCGCACAACGAAACTCGTGCTCACTCTGTTCGGCATATGGCCGGGCATGTCGTACGTTCTCATCTATAGAGTGTATTGGTTTATCATATTGATGTCGGACGAGGTCTGGCATTACCGGTATTTCAAATCACATTTTCAGCTCGAGAACCTGCCAATTCTAGTGGACTGTCTCAGCACCTTCATAGCGCACATAAAGGTTCTCACTAAATTGTTCGTCTTTTGGTTCAATCAGCAGTAAGTGACAGCGGATCTGCAGTAAGCGCGGTGTACGCGAAAGAATCATTTGGACAATTCCGATCGATTCGCAGGAAATTCGTCAAGATCTTAACGATGATGACGGAAGACTGGAGTGAGTGTGCCGACAGCGATAACGACATACGTGAGGCCGTATGCAAGGGGAAAATGTCCGATCGCATCAGTATCGCTATGTTCGTCCTTCACGTGTTCAACACCATTACATTCTGCACCAAAGTCTTCTTAACGATACCCCATGTCGACATCGACGATAGCGACTTCGAGCTACCTTTCTTCTTGAAAGTAGAATTTCCTATGCGCATCAGCACATTACGCACATACAAAATGCTGTTGAGCGTGCAATTCGTAAATCTCTTATCCATCGTCATTGGCACTGGTATGGTGAACGCTCTGCTCTTAACTTTGGTACGTAACCTGTGACCATTCATTATATCTATTTACACACAAGAAATATGATCTCATTCTTAGCGAAATTCTCTTTTATATGGTTTCAAGATTCTTTTTAATGCCAAAAAGAAAATATAAGGTTAACGGCCCTACTTGTAGATAATTTATAGTTAGAGTAACTTTCGTTCATTTACGTATATTTGTCGACCAAACATTAAGAGAAACTATTAATACTGATATAAGCGAGAAATATTGCAACTTTAAAGCAAAAAATAATTAGACTTCAAATTAATTTTGAAGTCATTAATTCATTTCTAAGGAAAGCTAGAATAATATTTAATAGAATTGTTGCTAAACTGATTCCTAGTAGATTAATAGTTTGTTTTATTACAAAACAGAAATACCTTCTCGATAAAAGTTTTCGCTTAGGATATAAGATTACGGGAACAATACCTTGCAACTAGAGTTTTTCTCTTTGAAAGTTATTGATTATTCTCCTTTTGATTGTAGAAGAATTTTTTCGAGACCGATAAATTAGAGAATTTCGCTGAAGATAAGATTATATTTATTTGATATACTAATCAAAATAACTTTAGCACGTAATGTATAATTACTAATAATGTATAATTGTTCACATTCGTCTCTAAACATTAAGATGAATGATGACAGATCGCCGATTTGACATATTATTTTTCGAAGATCTTTTTCAATGAATGATGAGTCAATGATGCGTACGGTTAGAAGTTCTCAGTGTTCCTAATTATTATTGCGTGCTAAGGCCAAATTGCCGACAAAATTGCAGTGAGAAATGAATACATTTTTACAATGCAAAGTTGCTCCTGTTCAGCTATAAAAATGTGCCAACATCTCTGAGCGTTTCAACGATGGAGAATTATGTTTTCCAGATTTTACACGTAGGAGGTCAAATCAACATCCTGTGTTCTTGGCTGACCGAGCTTGCACCAAGGGAGAACGCAGAAACGCGCGAATCCGTCATGGTCATGATAAATAAAATTATCCGGAAGCATCAGCGAATTATCCAGTTTTCAACGCACATCGAGGATTTGTACAGGTACATCTCGTTCGTACTGTTCGCTTCAAACACAACGATGATCTGTATGCTGGCATTCCTCGTCTTAACTGTGAGTATCGTGCCAAGTATTACCGATAAGAATAACAAGCTTCACTGTGAAATTAATTGCCGTTTTCCGCGTATTTCTACACGTAGTATTAATGTGATATCTCAATAATGTACCATCGCGCTCTCTTTACGTCCAATTACATCGGTTGAGCCGACTACTCGTTCAATTCGACTCGTATTTTGTGCAAAATGTTATAATAATGCTTTGATAATTTCCCGCGCGTGTCGCTGCCACATCACAGTCGCTCAACAGTCCCGACGCAACCGAGCGGATATTGAGATCTCTTCTGTTTTACGCCATTACGAACCTGGAATCGTTCATATTTTGCTTCGCGGGAGAATATCTGAGGAACAAGGTTGGAAACGAGAGAACGTTTACGACGATAATCGATAATATGGTGGAATTTGAGCTTACCATATTAAAGAAGATTCGTGTCATCTAAGAGATATCTCTTTTGTAGAGCAAAACGATCGGGGGCGCAGCGTACAATTCGGCATGGTATGACCTGAGGCCCAAGGATAGTCGCGTTTTGTTATTGGTAATATTAAGAGCACAGAAGCAATTAACGCTCACGGCCGGCAGGATGATGGATCTTTCTTTGGAGAGCTTCGGAAATGTAAGCATTACGCGCAGAATCAATCCTAGTATCAATGCTGTACACGACGTTTACACTCGAACGCTACAGAAAAGTCGCTTCTATAGCTTTTCACTTATGTGATTTCTTGCGCGGCAAACTTATCACTATAGTGCACTAATAAAAGTGCATTTTTCTCAAGCGATGTTATGCTACAAGGAGCAATAGAGACCTGAAATTGTGTAATAAAAATGTCCTAACTTTATTATAGATCATGAAAGCCTCGGCATCGTACATGTCGGTGCTGTTGGCGATGCAATGAACGTCGTCTTCGGTTCGAACGTTCCCAAGCGATATATAGCCGTGAAAAGTATGTGCCGAGTGGTGTGTAACCATGTTTTTACTAGTGATACGACAGTGACACATAGCATATTTTTCTATGTCCGCATGAAGGATGCCGTATCGAGTGACGCATACATGAGACGTGCGTTGTCTATGGAACAATATGAAATATAAAAGTACACACACGGTGATCATAGTAAAAAGTATTTCATGCATAAAGGATACTTTCATATACTGACCCGATTCCTCGAACAGACACAATTCGCCAGGGCTCTCCTCAATTCCTGCTAAACTCCGATCGTGACACCGATTCGCACTGGACGACTGCTGCATGCGAACTAACACGTATTACCTCTGTCGCGTTATATTTCGCCGCACGTTTCTGACTTTTTACCCTCTTGACTTCGGAACTTTTCTCAAGTGCGTCGAACGCGACTGGCCATCGCAGCCGTACATCATCGCGTCCATGTCCGCACGAATCATTGTATATTTAAACAGGACTCCGCGGTTGCATCGCCAGTAGCCAAGAGAGAGGGAGAGATCGCCCTGCCTGTTCCCTCGTCTCATATATTAAAGTTGCGCGAGGTGCACGGCAAGTGTATGTGAACTGACGACTATACGTGGCACGGTGAAGAATATTTAATGAACCGTTACTATTGGTCGATCAGTAGCGAGGGTGCGCCCATCTGATGACCTCTTGGGACCTCCCCGTCTTTACGCCGGTATTCTGTAATGTACATCGCGTTGTCATCGAGTCATGTACTACGAACGTCGTCCTCTCACCCTTGTCTAATAAACGCTCAGATAATCGGCCCTTCTCTCGTGTATAGGCGGGAAGAAAGAGAGGGGAAAAAAAAGAACAGGGAACAATGCCGCATGAAAGTACTATCAATCGCACAACGAAAGTTATACTCACTTTATGCGGTATATGGCCAGGTGCCTGGTGCGTGATAATATTCAGGGCTTATTGGATCATTGCACTAGCGACGGACGAATTCTGTCACTATCGTTACTTTTTAATACACTGGCATACCGATGATGTGTTCGATTTAGCGGACTGCCTCAGCAGTTTCATAGCGCAGCTCAAACTGATCACCAAGTTCTCAGTCTTTTGGTTGAATCAACGGTAAGTGAGGGGATGCAATGTGACAGAGTTACGAATAATTTACTCAAGTGAGCCAAGTACAACAAATATTTATTTTTTTTTCAATCAATACGTAAATTGACTACTTAGATGCGGATATTTAGTAGTATATAGAAGAAATATAACACTTGCCGATCTTCATTGTAAATGCAAATGTGTTATCTCGAAATATGTAAAAGAAGATATATAAAATATGGAAAATATGCGAAATATATGAAAATATATGAAAATATCGTGTTTTATAGAAAAGAGAAAAGATAATGAGTGTTAATATGTATGACAATTTCGAAGCATTCGGTGACCACAAGGAACATAAATCTTCATGAAGCGAGCATTACGATGTCCATCGCAATGTCAGCGACATAATCGACGTTTTCAATCGTTCGCAGAAAATTTATCAAAATTCTGACAATGATGGCGGAAGACTGGCACGACAGCGCCAACAATGATGTCAGCATGCGCGAGACAATATGCAAAGCAAAATTATCAAGTCGTATCACTAACGCGATGGTGACCCTTCACGCGTTAGCGATTGTTACGTATAGCAGCGGAATGATTCTGGCCGACGTCGATACCAACGACGGCGAGAGCGCGCCGCCCCTTCTCTTAAAGGTGGAAGTCCCTATTGATATACACTCGCAACTTAGGTATAAAGTACTAGTAACCGCGCAATTTACGTACCTCTTGATAGCCGGCTGCGGGGCTGGCTTGGTGAACGCTCTACTCTTAACTTTGGTAAGTCGTAACAACGTGAACACTTGTTATGAACAATACGCAAGTAGTAGTAGCAGCAGTAGTGGTAGTGATAACAACCGAGCGATAGTTTCCTAAACAATTATGTCGTTTCATTGCGAGCAAGTTTACTTGAAAAAATTACCTGATCCTTCTCTCTCTTTCTCTCTCCCTCTACTTTGAATTATTTTAATAGATATTGGAACAATTATTATTTTCAGATTTTGCACGTGGGCGGTCAGATAGACATCTTGCGTGGCTGGTTGACTGAACTTGTGCCCGGAGATAACGAGCACAGAGAAAAACACGAATCTGTCATCGCCATGACCAAGAAAATTATTCAAAAACATCAAAAAATTATCATTTTTTCCAAGCACATTGAGGATTTGTACACGTATATCACGTTGGTACAATTCGCGTCGAATACATTGCTAATGTGCGTGCTGGGGTTCCTTACCGTAACTGTAAGTAAAGTGTCAAATACTACACATAAAAAATATACAATTGCATGAATAAAAAAATTTATGACATATATAAAATATAAATTTATTTTTTATAATATACTAAAAAGAAATATACATATATATTTATTCCTTTATATTTAATATATATATATATAATATATATTATATATCTTTTCATTTATTTATTTATTTAGCTCTTTTCTGCGTTTTCTTACATATATGAAACAGAAAATGTTAATTTCTTACGGTTTAGCGAGTACATTTTAATAATTCTTCGTACACTTCTTCAATATTACAGTCGATTGGTAATTCCGAAGCTGCGGGGGTAGGAAAATCTCTTTTATTTTATACCGTGACGACCCTCGAAGCGTTTGTATTTTGCTTCGCCGGAGAATATCTGAAAAACAAGGTCGGGAAAAATAATTACGATGATGAAAAAAAACAGACACAAATTATTTATAGCTTACTAATTATTATATGTACACGCAGAGCAAGGAGGTGGGAATCGCGGCGTATGATTCCGCGTGGTACAAACTGAAACCCGAAATTAGTCGGATCCTGATATTAGTGATATTGAGAGCACAGAAGCAATTGACGCTCACAGCGGGCAAAATGATGGATCTCTCATTAGAATCCTTTGCAAACGTAAGATTTAGCACACACAATAATTCCGAGTAATAGTTGTGTGTCTCTACATATTACACGACTTCTTTCGTAAGAAGTCTATCATACAACAATAATTAAAGAGCACTTTTTTACTATGATATTAATCGAAGTTTTACAAGAGAATAGAAACAATCTTTGATTAAAAGGGATATACTCTTATTATATATAGATCATGAAAGCCTCGGCATCGTACATGTCGGTGATGTTTGCGATGCAATAAACATTGTATTCAGCGCGAGGAGTTTCGAACAATAGTCGTGAAGCATGTGTCTCGAGGGACATGCGAATATGTCTTCACTAGTGATATATACAAGTGACACAACGTGCTTCTCTGTGTGCATGATCTCCGCTGTGCGGAGAATGAAAATTGCACGACCATGAAATAATACAAAGCTATAGTTTTTCCCAAGTCGTTGTTCTTAGAAAGACTCTTTCACAGAACCCGATATGCCGAAACTCACAGAGTAACTGTCCGCTATATATGTAATTCAACAAGGGATTCGATGCCGCAGCGTCAATCTGATGCTTCGGTAGCTTCGGAAACGTATTATAAACAGAAATAAAATTACTAACTTTAAAGTGCATTTCTTTTGCGCATACTAGCGACGCGTGTCATCGCAAATCGCCTCACGTATAATTTCACTCGCGCTAACCAACCTACAGACACTTGTTGATTTCTTATAAACATATGTCCAACGCGAGAAAGCATGCTCTTCGCCAACTGTCGCATGCGAGAACAAACGTGCACTTCCGCGACGCCGCAACACCTCGCCGCTTCCTCGCGCGCGCGATGCCGCATCCTCTTGACTCGAAAACTCCGCCGAAGTGCAACGAGCGCGACTAACCGCGCATACGTGCATATATCCACGCCGCCTGTACCTACCGCCGCACGAATCATTGCATATTTAAACGGGAGCGGCACGCATCATCGGCGCACGAGAGAGGGAGGGAATGATCGCCCTGCATGTTTTCTTTTCGTGTATCAATATTGCGGAAATCCACGTGGAACGTATCCGGAGGTGAAGGAGGAGGAGGAGTAGGACTGTAGACGGCGTGGAATAAAAATATTTAATGAGGAGCTACCATTGGTCGAGCGACCGAGGGTGCGCTCATTTCATGACCTTTCGGAAGCTCCTAGTCTTTACATTGGTATCCTATGCGATATACGTCGAGCTGTTATTAGGAGATCCACCGGGGCAAATTCATTGGGGTCAGAGTTCTCCCTCCCCCTGCCTTTTATATCTTGTCGTAGAAGTGTTCGTTCCGTTACGTGTACCCCCCGATAATTCTTCCCCAAGAGAACGACAGCGACCCGACACATTATGACGCGTAAAAGTACGATTAATCGAACATTACAATTGATGCTCACCGTGTGCGGCGTATGGCCGACGACGTCGGGTATCGCGATCTGCAGGGCGTATTGGTTCATCGCGCTGGGGATAGACGAAGTCTGCCATTGCCGGTACTTTCTGCTGCATTTGCAGTCTAATGACCTGTTCGACTTGATGGACTGTTTCAGTAGCTTCCTAGCGCAGGTGAAAGTCAGCACGAAGCTGTTCATATTTTGGTGGAACCAACGGTGAGTGTTGCGAGCTGATTGCAGTTGTACAGTCGGTTGCAAATCGGTTCACATATTTCTTATCGAAGTTGCGACGTTTCAAGTTGTCAGAATCGGAAACTACTCCTGGGGCCCTATTCCGTAACCACTTATCGACAATTGTCGGATCCGTAGAACTGGTCGTTGCGTAGTACTGGTCTTTTCTATGGTATGAAAAAGCTGCGCAACGTCGTCTATCGATCCGACAAAAGTCGGTAAGTGGTTACGGAATAAGGCCCCTGTGCTGGGATTCTATAACTCGTTATTGGAGTTAACGACAGTTTCGTTATTGTTGCGCAGCTTTTGTATACCGTAGAAAAGCTGCGCAACGATAACGAAACTGTCGTTAACTCCAATAACGAGTTACAGAATCCCAGCACTGACGTGTTTGCGTGCGGTAATCGATGATAACAGGATCTGAAGTGATAGTACAAAGGGGTACATTTGTGGAGTCTGGAAGAAAGCGTTCACTTCAAATTAAAGAAATATTATTCTGAGAAGCGATTTCTATGCATTTTTGTAATCGATTATCGCGTACATATACGTGTCAGCACGTAGCTTTCAGGTCTGACTCGAAGCTTGCGACTTTGTTGGATAAAAAGCGAGGCGATTTGCAGCTGTCTACACCGGAATAAACTGACAATTCGTGACGGAGACTTGTCGATTCGACGACGCGGGTCGTCTGACGATTGTGTCGTCGCGCAGAAAATTCATGCGAATGTTAACGATGATGGCCGAGGACTGGGACGATTGCGCCAACAGTGACTTCGCCATGCGCGAGACGACGTGCAAGGCTAGATTATCGTCTCGCATCACCAACGCGATGTTCACTCTTCACGTATTGACCATCGTGGCGTACAGCGCCGGCATTCTGTTGGCCGACGTCGATTTCACCGATCAGCGGGCAGAGCTGCCGCTTCTCTTGAAAGTGAACCTCCCCGTCGACATAAACACAAAACGCAGGTACAGACTGCTGCTGAGTGCACAGTTCGTACATCTCATCATGGCCGGTTGCAGCGCCGGGTTGCTCAACGCGCTGCTCTTAGCCTTGGTAAGTCTCGCGAAGATGGAGCGTGCATACGCCGTGAGTAGTGCGTCGTTCTAAAAATTACACTCGGGGTGAGTAACTCGCTGCCATGCGCAATTCCCTGCGCATTCTGGTCTCTTTCTCTGTCCCTCCTGCACCCCATCGTCCGGACGCGAGTCCTTTTTAATACCTAATCAGTTTAATGGAGAGTGAGTCGGAGTTATTATTTTCAGAGCCTGCACGTGGGAGGTCAAATGGAGGTCCTACGCTCTTGGTTGATCGAGCTCGTGCCGAAGGAGGGCATCCGAAGGGAAAGACGCGACTCAATCGTTAGTACGACGAACAAAATTATACGGAAGCATCAGAGGATAATCAACTTTACAGAGTACATCGAGGACTTGTACACGTACATTGCGTTAGTGCAATTCACGTCCAACACTGTGCTAATGTGTTCGTTGGGATTCCTCATCGTTTCCGTGAGTCAAATGATCTTGCGTGTATTCATGAATGAAAATAAATGTTTAATTTGCTGGAAACGATCGCATTTCCGATTTCCGGCGTACTCACTAACAAGCGTTTTCATTATTACGTCTCAGCAATTCTCTCTCTTTCTCTGTTTATCTTTTTCTTCTTCTCTTTCTTCCTCTGTCTTTCTCTCTCTTGTGTTTCCTTACGTGCATTAGGCGTATGATATCGATTTATGACTCAGTGCGACGGTTTCAATAATCCCTCTATTTCGATGCTTCGATATTACAGGCAATCGGCAGTCCCGATGCGACAGAGCAAATAGTGAGATCCCTTTTATTTTACACCGTGACGAATCTGGAAGCGTTCATATTTTGCTTCGCCGGTGAATATCTGAAAAACAAGGTTAGAGACGAGACGTGATGTCCATAACGATAAACTCGGTGGTTAACAGCAGAGACGTTTCCGTGTATATAAAGCAACGATCACGCAAATACTGCAGACGCTGAGCCGCAGCTTCTCAATGAACTCCGATTAATTAACTGTCTTTGCAGAGCACAGCGATCGGGACTGCGGCGTACAATTCTACATGGTACGAATTGGGGCCTGAAAACAGCCGTCCCTTAATATTCGTAATATTAAGAGCGCAAAAGCAATTAACGCTCACAGTTGGGAAAATAATGGACCTCTCTTTAGAATCGTTCACAAATGTAAGGTTCACGCGCAATACGCAGCATAATTTTGGAGAATAATTGTAGAAACGTGTGCTCGCGCGAGTGTATCGATATATACTCGATATATACTCTTCTCTTGTACATAAAATTCGCATAAATTTTTTTCAAATATTGCGCCCGTAAAAAAACTCTCC